TTTTTTTTTTCGAAAAAGTTCGATTTCGAGGAGGGATTGATGGGGCGATGCCATGCAGGATCAAAGATCAGTGGTTGCGGAACAGCGAACGGAAGGCCGATCTCCTTTCCCCCACGAAGTGCGATGGGTTTCGCTGTATTTCTTTATTTTTTTTTGCCATGTAGGATCAGAGATCGGTGGTTGTGGAACAGCGAACGGAAGGCCGATCTCCTGTCCATCACGAAATGTCATGCAGGATCAAAGATTAGTGGTTGTGGAACAGGGAACGGAAGGTCGATCTCCTCTCACCCACAAAATGCGATGGGGATTTGTTGTTTTTCGTTTTTTTTTTTTTTTTTTTTTTTTTTTCGTTTTTGAAAAAAATTGATTTCGAGCAGGGATTGATGGGGCGATGCCATGCAGGATCAAAGATCAGTGGGTGTGGAACAGCGAACGGAAGGCCGATCTCCTTTCCCCCACGAAGTGTGATGGGTATTCGCTGCATTTCTTTATTTTTTTTTTGTTTTTTTTGTTTTTTTCGTTTTCGAAAAAGTTCGATTGCAAAAACGGGATGATGGGGCGATGCCATGCAGGATCAAAGATCAGTGGTTGTGGAACAGCGAACGGAGGGCCGATCTCCTCTCCCCTACAAAGAACGATGGGGATTTGCTGTTTTTGTTTTTTTTTTTTCCTTTTTTTTTGTTTTCGTTCTCGACAAAGTTCGATTCCGAGGAGGGAGTGACGGGGCTGTGCCATGTAGGATCAAAGATCAGTGGGTGTGGATCTCCTCTCCCCCACAAAGTGCGCTGGGGATTTCCTGTATTTCTTTAATTTTTTTGTTTTTCTTTTTTGTTTTCTTTTTCGAAAAGTTAGATTGCAAAAACCGAATGGTGGGGCGATGCCATGTACGATCAAAGATCAGTGGTTGCCATGTAGGATCGGTTGTTGTGGAACAGCGAAAAGTCAGATTGCAAAAACCGAATGACGGGGCGATGGGGATTTGCTGTTTTTCTTTTCTTTTTTTTTGTTTTTTGTTTTGTTTTGTTTTTCGAAAAAGTTCGATTGAGAAAACGGATTTATGGGGCGATGCCATGCATGATGAAAGATCAGTGGTTGTGGAACAGCGAACGGAGGGCTGCTCTCCTCTCCCCCACAAAGTGCGATGGAGATTTGCTGTTTTTCTTTTTTTTTTTTTCTTTTTTTTTTTTCTTTTTTTTTTTCGGAAAATTTCGCTTGCAAAAACGGATTGATGGGGCAATGCCATGTACGATGAAAGATCAGTGGTTGTGGAACAGCGAACGGAGGGCCGATCTCCTCTCCCCCACAAAGTGCGATGGGGATTCGCTGGTTTTTTTTTTTTTTTTTTTTTTTTTTTTTCCGAAAAAGTTCGACTGAAGAAACGGAATGATGGGGCGATGCCTTGTAGGATCAAAGATCAGTGGTTGCCATGTAGGATCAGTGGTTGTGGAACAGCGAACGGAGGGCTGATCTCCTCTCCCCCACAAAGTGCGATGGGGATTTGCTCTTTTTCTTTTTTTCTTTTTTTGGTTTTTTTTTTTTTTTTTCGGAAAAGCTCGTTTGCAAAAACGGTTTGATGGGGCGATGCCATGTACAATGAAAGATCAGTGGATGTGGAACAGCGAACGGAGGGCCGATCTCCTCTCCCCCACAAAGTGCAATGGGGATTCGCTGCTTTTTTTTTCTTTTCTTTTTTTCTTTTTTTCATTTTCGAAAAAGTTCGACTGAAAAAACGGAATGATGGGCCGATGCCATGTACGATCAAAGATCAGTGGTTGCCATGTAGGACCAGTGGTTGTGGAACACCGAACGGAGGGCTGATCTCCTCTCCCCCACAAAGTGCGATGGGGATTTGCTGTTTTTCTTTATTTTTTTTGTGTTTTTTTTTTGGCTTTCTTTTTCGAAAAAAGTTCGAAAGCAAAAACGGAATGATGGGGGCGATGCCATGTACGATCAAAGATCAGTGGTTGCCATGTAGGGTCAGTGGTTGTGGAACATCAAACGGAGGGCTGATCTCCTCTCCCCCACAACGTGCGATGGGGATTCGCTGTTTTTCTGTTTTTTTTTGTTTTTTTTGTTTTCATTTTTGAAAAAGTTCGATAGCAAAAAC